TTTTTTTTTTTTTTTTCCTGTACTGGATAATGCAAATGCTCTAAATGTTAAATTACACTTTTGTAAATATTTGCAGCTCTTGCTAAATAAATCATGATAACAATCATTAATAGGACTGGATTGGAAGTAAGGAAACTCTAGTTCTACACTAGACCCTGCCATTCATTATGTGGCCTTGGGCAAGTCACTTCCCTTCCTCAGCAATACCTGTTGCCATCTGTAGAAAGGACTGAAATACCACAACTCTTTGACATCTAGACAGTAAAATACATAAAAGGTAAGAAACATAATTTTGTATAACCTAACCTTCATGACTGAATCGAGCTATGAACCGCAAGGTCACCAGTTCGAAACTACCAGCTGTTCCATGGGAGAAAGACGAGGTGTTCTGCTTCCGTAAAGATTTACAGCCTCGGAAACCCTGTACAGGGTCACTATCAGGGTCGCTATGAGTCGGAACCGACTTCATGACAGGTATTCACATTGAAGTGTTACCACAATTATCTGCTCAAACTTTGTTTCAGATACCTGTATATTTAAAATCATACAGGTAGCTCATTACATATTTGCCTATATGATTGTGAACTTCTTGTGGATAGGGATATATTCTCTGAAGGTCAGAGTTTTGCCATTATGGATATGGAGAGTTCAAATTTATTCTCAATCCCATGCCCTTTTCATAAAAACAAGAGCAGTGTTCCATGAAGGACTCTAGTTTTCAGGGAGCCCATCAAGTATTTGCCATCATCAGATGGTAGCCAACCATATCGCTTTTGACCTGTGTGAAGTGTGATCAGCATTAAGATTATTCTTCTTCTTTTACTGAGCAGTATTGTAAACACAAGCCATTATTCTGGCCAATGTCCTAAATTCATGCAGAGCATGTCTGGTAAAGCAGAAGGGCCATGAAAAAGATGAAGACCCTCAGTGAGATGGATTGACACAGTGGCTGCACCAGTAAGCACAAACATAGCAACTGTGAGGGTGGGACAAGATTGGACAGTGTTTTGTTATGCTGTGCACTAGGTCACTATAAGTCAGAACTAACTCCACAGTACCTACTAACAATTGCAACAACAATGTAGAACACATTGGATGAGCAGGAGAAGAAAATTAAAAAGTAACTGGGGCAATATTTTTTGAAGTAGGGATGGAATGATATACATCCAATCCTCACTTATTGGCACAGTTTTTTGTAGATTCTGGAATATAAATAACAATAAATGAATGAGAGAAAGACAGACTTTGAAGACTAGTTTGGACCCACTATTAACACTCATGGAAGCAGCAGTCAGGAAATCAAATGACGTTCTGCATTAGGCAAATCTGCTGCACAAGACCTCTTTTAAATGTTCAAGAGCAGAGATTTGAGGACTAAAATGTGCCCGACTAAAGCCACATGTGCATGTGAAAGTTGAATAAGGAAGACCATAAAAAAATGATGCATTTGAGCTATGGTGTTGAAAAAGCACCGTGAACTGCCAGTAAAACAAAGAAATCTGTTTTGGAAGAAGTACAGCCAGAATGCTCCTTAGAGACCAGGATGGCGAGACTTTGTCACTGATACTTTGTATATATTATCAGAAAGGATCAGTCCCTGGAGAAGGACATCATGTTTGGTAAAGTGGAGGGTCAGTAAAAAAGAGGAAGACCCCCAACTAGATGGATTGGCACAGTGGCAGCAGCAATGGGATCACACGTAGCAACAATTGTGAGGCTATTGCAGGATCGGGCAGTGGTTCATTCTGTTGTGCATCAGGTCATTATGAGTGACACCAGACTTAATGGCACCTAACACAACAATAACAATTTAATTCCTAAATGTATGTGGGATTTCTAAATAGACTTAAAATCTTCTTAGAGTAATCAATAGAACAAGCAGATAGGAATTAGCAAGGATATGTAAGACACAAACAACATTATTATCAAACAACTCAATCTAATTGACATTTATAGAGCCCATTCACCCAACACCAGAATACATTTTCCCCCCAAGTGCACATGGAAAAGTCACAAAGACGACCATATTCTGTGCCAAAAATCAAATGTTAGCAAATTTAAAAACTGAAACATGCCGAGTATATTTTCTGAACACAAGAGTTGAATTAGAAATAAAAAACCTTGAAAATTCCTCATACATTTAGAAATCAAATAAAACATTTCAAATAAACCATGAGTCAAAGAAGTCATACACACAAAAAAAGAGACGATATCTTAAATGAAATGAAAAGGGAAACACAACAAAAATTCCATTTTGTATCCAGCTAACAGTGTTCAATGGCACAACGATAGCATTAAGAACAGATTTAGTAAAGATAATCGATCTAAAAACCAATAATCTAAGATTTTACCTTAGGAAAACAAAGAAAGAAAAGTCATTAAGTCTAAAATCAGAAAAGAAATATTAGAGGAGAAATCAGTGAAATTAAAAAAAACAAAAGTAATAATGAAAACAAAAGCTGTTTTTTAGATGATGGTGTTGTTTGCTGTGGACTTGATTGATTGCCAAGGTCACAGACAAGGTCCCTATGAGTAGGAACGGAGTCAATGTTACTTAACAACAACAATAACAATCTTAATGGAAGATGTGTCATGTTTTTCTCCATGGAGCTGCTAGGTGGGTTCAGACTGCCCAACTTTTGGTTAACAGCCATCAGGGCTCCTTGGAGGGTCCTATAACTATTCTAAATATTTAACTCATAGATAACATTTACTAACCAAGAAAACTCTAGGCATGGATAGTTTCTTTCAGTATTCCTACCAAATCATTCCTACTAAAAGAAGACGTAATTTTAATTCTACACAATCTCTTTTAGAAAACAGAAAAAGGAAGAGCACTTTCCAATTCATATTGAGGCCAGCTATACTGTAATGTAGGAGCTCTGGTAGCATAGTGGTTACGAATCGGGCTGC